TTTATTTTAGCGAGGAAGTGTTTTAGAACACTTAAATATAATTTACTAAAATGAGTACATAGTGTAAGAAAATACACAGGTAATTCACTCTGGGTGCTTTCTCAGCCTTCCATCACAGGTGCTCATGTTTTTTTAAAATATAACATTGCGGTCAGTCAGTTATGTGCCATGCGTGATACACGGTTAGGCGATCATATATCTTTTAATACATGACTGACAAGGCAGATTTTTCTTTATTTTTAAAAACACTATGACGTAAATTTTTGTAACTTTGTATAATATTTGTGCATTACACCTAATCTTTATTCGCTAAAAATGTCATTGCTAATCATGCTATATATATATATATATATATATATATATATATATATATATATATATATATATGCGTGCGTGCGCGCGTTTTATGCGTACGCGCGTGCGTGCGGTATGTCTCACCCTTCAAACTGATTCGTTTGAGATGTCTACATATGAATTGGAATATAAATTGGAACACTTTAAATAATCATCTTTTGTAAATTATATCAGACATGGAATTTTATATGTTAATATAATCCTACAAGTTACATATGTATTAACTGTTCTCTGTTGGGTTACATTAACAGCAGCCATTTTTAGTTTGGTTTCAATATTAATTTTCCTTTGAAGTATATTGTTTGTAATTACGAATGGACATTCTCAGAATGGCTATTTCTAATTCTGAATGATTATGACTGGCGTTATGGAAATAATTATGTACTTTGAACAAGGTCCGAAATACCTTCTTCTATGATATTTTATCTTAGCTGAATTTTTGCATTCTTTGGGAATCATTATTTCGCCAAATATTTACAACTGAATTTACAAGCAATACGAATCCTTAATTAAAAAAAAAAACATTTCAAATCTTTTATATTCCTAGTCAGGAAGGAAAGAAGGAATGTCCAGTATCGTTTATAGCTATCAGTATGAAAACGAAATTGACAAAACAAATTGGAATTTCGATTATAACTGCATTGATTATCATTAACAGTGATAAATTAGCTATTGTAAAATGAATGACTATCGAACAATAATAATTTCTTCTCCACACTATTATTCTAGAAAGAATTGAGCAACATAAATTTTATAGTGGAACACACCTATTCTATAGTTAACAGACTCTCCCACCTATAATAAGTAGTAGTAGTAGTAATAGTAACGTGTCAGTCGCGGAGTTGGTCAGTCAGTCGATGCCGGACGACCCTTAGTCGGATATTAAAGTAACAGCCACCACAACTAGATTTCTCTGCGTCATCACTTATTATATCAAGTTCCTAACGTTTTGTACGTTGAACCTATTTTAGAACCGATTAGTGAAATACAAGCGTCCACTCTGAAACTACTCTACAACTATAAAATAAACACGTACCAACCATATTTCCCGTGCCGTCGACGAACAAATAAAATTAGCTTCAAAGAATTTTAGAAATAGAAATGATAAAAACAACAATCATGACAAAATAACAAAAAACATTATTAACACAATCCACCATTATCAAATGCACCTCCCTAGAAACAAAACAAAACAAAAAAAAACATTAAGAATATAATTCATCGGTACATATCATTCCACCTCGACCCTGTGTAATGGTTAACAAGCTTGTCTTGCTAGAACATTTATGTCTGAGTCGTGAGTTCTGCCCTCACCAAATGCCCCAAACCTTCGGCCTTGTGCCGCTACGCATAGACAATCACCATATCACCAAATGGTTCCAATAAATAACTTAGTACTTATTATCATCATCATTACTTATGTACTGTGATCGTGGTTTTCCTCAACTTCCTAACTCTTGTAGCTCTAAACAGCTTCTGACTCTTTACCATCCATCTTAATCTGTATTCTGCCATTTATTCACATAAGCTCAGTAGGAACATTATTCGTTCTTTCCCTCTACCCAGTCTTTCTCCAATATGAACTGTGAGTATCAAATTTTAAAATTTTTCTTTCATCATAATGTACCCCAGAAATTAAAACTGAATTTTAAGTATGATTATCTTTCCATTGGGTCACCCGGAAAATAATTTCTGATTTTAGAATAATCCTTTTAATTGTGTTCTCATATGTTATAATAGTTGTAGATAATATATTACCTATTCATAATTAATGACCTCATCGTTAATTTTATATAAATATCTTTCAGAATTTAACTTAAATCATTATAAACCCCTAATATTAATTATGATATAAAGAAGAGATGTGTTGACTTTTTTTGCGTGATTTCAAGCTTGATCATGGTGGTTCTCAAACAGCTGCCAACATTGACAAATCATGGGGGTGGAGGATCCAATTGTGATTGGACGGTTTCTGATGTTCCACAATGGGGATATTATTCTGGAAGATTAAGATGGTACAGAGAGAACAAAACCCTTGTCAAAGTATCAGAGAAATATCAAAGATAATGGTTGTCAGAATTTTAACAATGTCGAACAATCTCAAGAAAATTGGTAAGGGGAAGAAACTTGATAAATGGGTTCCATATGAACTCAGTTCGAACTTTTGAAGTATGTTCGATGATACATCTGCGAAATTCGAATGATCCATTTCTTGATCGAGTAATGATGTGAAGAGAAATGGAGCCATTATTACAGTCGTAAATAATCGGCTCAGTAGCTTGATCATGGCGAAGCACCCCCACCCCACCACAAAAAAAAAATTATGGTGACTTTCTGGTGGTCTGCCATTGGCGTTATGCATTACAGTTTTCTGGAATCTAACTGTTGTGGATTCCGAGATGAAATCCGGTCTCCAATGAATGACAAACGCAGGAATGGAATATAACAAATAAATGTATTTACACAATAATACAATTGGTAATACGGTTAGTAGGTCCAGAAACGCGGTTATTAGCAATAATAATATATATACAGTCTGGTAAATCCAGTCTCGAAGTAGGACTTCCTTAGAGTCTACGTGCTTGTAACTGTGACTTCTACAAGCGGTTACCTCACACTATTACTCTATCTCCAACTCAGTCACAATTACTGTCTCTTCTCTGACCGACTCTGGGTATTTAACGGCAGCAGTCCAAGTACACACTGGTCGAGCCCAATTGTATGAAAAAGGGGTGGACCCCATAACACTGACCATGGCATCACTGCTGATGTTGTCTTTCAACAACCGGATGAAATGTACATTCAGTTAAAACTCAACGAGGTCCAATTCTGTAGAAGCTTACATAAACTTTGCCACAATCGCCATATTCCCTTGATCTCTCACCCGTTGACCAGCACTTTTTGAGTCATCATTGAAAATCTTTTACGCCAAAAGACATTCCGTTGCGAAGAAGATGCAGAAATTACATTCAATTTTTTCTTGATATAAAGATATATACAGTTCTATCGAAAAAGCATAAATAACATTTGTAGTTTGATGAAAGAAATATATACATATTCAGGGTTCATATTTTGACATTATTTAAATACATGAATTCAGGAATAAAAATTGATCATAAAATTGAACATTGTTTTCCGAAAAGCTTAAAAGTTTAATACTTACCATTTTCTTTAGAATATCTTCATTGTTCTGTCTATGAACAAACAAAAAACAAAACAAAAAAAGAAAAAAAATTGCCCGCTATAATTACAATTGTAATTTAACAACAAACACTTAAAACAGCCTCAATGGGATATTAACAAAAAGTATCAATATAGAATGTACCTCCACGAATTCGCGATACCTAAGGATTAAAATTAATTTCTATAAAAGTTTCTCGAAACTTTCATTTTAGCTTCAATTGAAAGCTAACGGATTAGATTTACTATTTCCAGTAAGCAAAATTCTATGTAATGTATTTCAAATAGAAATTATAGTGATCGGAATCGATATTTCTTTTACTAAAATAGCTGATTAACGCTCTTTTTTCATCGTCTTTCATTGCAATATAATTCTCTGTATTAAAAAATCTTCCACAAATAAGGCATACTTTTCTGAAACTTTATTTGTGAAATATTAGTTGATTTAAAGCATAATTAATCTGAGTTGAAACAAATATTTACTTTAATATTAAACTAACATAATTTTTAAGTACTCAGTAATCTTAAAAATGTTGGAAAATATTCTCCATAGTCGAATTTTAGGGATGTTGAATTTAAATTTACTATAGTTATCGCTCTCATTTTCTGATAATGTTGTGTATGGTCACCCATACTTTCAAAATGGGCACGTTTATACACATAAAGAAAAAATTAAGACTTATTTTCAAAAACTTACTGCGTGATGATTTGTATTAAGCTTTTCAATTTTTGAATAGTAAATATGATTTTCACTTAATAAAATTATCTAACAGGGTCAAAGTTTTGCAGAATGTTGTAAAGATTTGAAACTTCATAAATTATTATAATTAAAATAAAAACAATTCTTGTAAAAATTCATTATTCATCTAAAATTTTTTTCTTAAGACTACAATATCCGTAATATATATTATTTATAAAAGGAATTAAAACTTGATCGAATTAAATAATATCACAGTTTTATTGCATTCTTTATTTTACTATTTGGAGCAGATTTTCGGGAAAACAGTAATAGTTGGAAAAGAAAATAGATGATTTACTTTCTCTGGGGAATCATGCTTTTAACTAATAAAACTGCATGTAAATTCTGGGCTATTTGTATCACTTTCGCGAAGAAAGGCAGTCTAAGCTTCTAGATAAGAAACCTGTTCCGTAATAATTTACTTGTAACTGAAATCGTAGCAGCATGATATGGTCTGGCTATAAAAATAAACAAACAAAAGAACATTGGTTATTATCCATAAATATATACTCAACTTAGCTCAGCTCAGCACAAGACTAAATGGAAATAGTGACATTTCATTGCAGTAATGTTCAAAAGAAGAAAAATCATTCGTAATCCCAGCTTATAAATCCGACCAGCGCCAGTGAGGAAAATAATTAACACATAGTTCAAACATATTAAACAATCATTGATATTCATACTCACCACAGTATTAATAGTCTATGAGATCCGCTTGTTAAATTACTCCAAGATGAGATCCTGCGGGAGGGGGTAAGGTGATAGAGAGAGAGAGAGAGAGAGAGAGAGAGAGAGAGAGAGAGAGAGAGGGGGGGGAACACCTTTGGTTTGTGTTGATCCCTTGTTTACATCTTCGAACCTAAGTGTAAAGACATTCTCATGAATGATTTCCTACTTAGCCAGATTTATTTTATATTCCTTATTTTTTATGTAAAATTTTCCAAGTTTTTTTTATTATGATTGTCCCTGTTTTTGCATTTTTATATAATATAGTTCATGATTGCCACAACACATTTACAATTCTCACCGATCACCAAACTATTTTGATCAAGATAATTCTAATCTTTCCTTGAGTCATAATTTTTCGAGTTTCTCTTCTAAAATATTTTGAGAGTTTTTTTCAGTGCTCTAGTTATTATGTGTATGGTATTTAATCTGAATTTTTACAATTTCTACATGTACCAAACAAGGGCATGATGTATTTTATTTCGCTCACTCTATCGTCTGGCAGAAAAGCCACATTGACGATATTATATTTTTTTATCTTGTAAGGAACAACGGTGTCAAAATGATTAATTTAAATTAGAAATTATTTTTTCATTATATAAAAGCAGGTTTTGTTTAAGCTTATAAAAAGGACACATTGCAAAATAGAACTCGCGTTTTAAAATTCTACTGAAATTCGAATAATTAAAGGAATTTAATGAAGCTTTCAGTATTTACTCATTGGTTACTGAAAGAAATCGCAATCTTAATGAAATAATCATAACTTATCAACGATTATAAGTAATCGTAAGTCAAAGTCTCTCTCTACCATCTTAGGCAAAATTCAACTTTCTCATACACAATTTCTATGCTGTCATGAACCGGATTTCAACTTACACTTTGAAACATCACTATAATCACACACTTCTAAAATACGCAATAACTACTCAATACATGCTTATTTATTTGGTTGTGTATTCTCATTTCATTTGTAATAGTAGGATTAATGTAAAATAAATCTCGACGTAAAGCATCCAGGTGTGTAATATTATGGAACAACTGGCTTATCTAGGTCAGTGTTATCGTTGTCTCCTTCAAATAATATTGTTATATAACTCAAACTCTTACGACAGTGTTCCAAGGCCATTTAACGTAATCTGCAAATTTTCTTTCGCGATCACCACTACATGCTTCGTCGCATTCTACTTAATCATGTTCAATTCCAACGTCAATTTTAGCTTTGAAAAAATCTTTCGAAAAAGGAATAATCAAAAACTCTACATGAGAGTGAAGTATCGGTTGTCACATTACCATTATTAATGTTAGAGTTATACAGTGCACAAGTTCACAACGGCTTCTTACAAGCGACTGAATAATCCACGAGGAGAGGGTCAGTTTATACATGTGTTATGTCATCCCAAGTGGATAGCTGGATACTTTCCGGACACATATCGTATATCTATATATATAAAATTTGAATATATTTTAAGATGAACCACAAGATCAGTGATGAAGACGAGCCAAACCTAAAAAAAAAACAAGTATTTCCAGAAATTCGGTTCATCTTCAATCGACATAACGCTTTAGATTCTTATATTTTCTACCCCTTCTCCCTCACCTAGTCTCACTCCTTCTCTCTCTTTATATATATATATATATATATATATATAGTAAATTTCCCAAATAATATTTTTGTGTCTAACAGTCGTGTAACTTCAATGCTCCTTTGCATATACCTGTTTATAGTATTTAAAGCATGTAGGCAAACATTAAAAAGTGTAAAGTATTATTTAGTTATTTTCTCCACCAACTTTCCCAATAGGCATTATTCTTGTTGGCTGAATTTCTTATATTACTCATTGTCGTTATTATCAAATTTCAATAGCTTCCTTCGATCTTATAAGTTGTTTGTTTACAGTGAATTGATAAAAATGAATCAGAAATTAGCTTTACGACCTTCAGTGGCGTGGTGAATGAAACCACTTGTAAAATCATTGAATCGCCGGAAATCTTTAGTTAATTTTCGGATTAGGTAGCGTAGAAATATTTCTACCGTTGTATAAAGGCTCAGCAGTATCATGCGGAAGAATCTGTTATTGGAATAAAAGATGTCGAATATGAAAAATAAAGGCATGAGAGTACCACATTCACGAATAGAGAGTTTTCTGTGAAATTAATGGAATATTTCCAGAAGCAGTAAACCTTTGAGTCAGGCAGTAGCTTAAACAATAAAAAATCTGATAAAGAAAAAAAACGATGGAAGGAGTTACATGGATATAATGATAATGAAATTCACATGAAAAGAAGGCTGGAGAGTATAGCAAACGAAAGATTATTAAAGTCAACAAAGACCAAGAAAATGTATTCGAATAAATCAATGTATAATGATAATATTTTGAAGGCCGGAGAGTAATGTGATACAAAACATCAAAGAAGAATAAAGTATGTGTATTTGAAGTGTTTGCCATGTTTTTTTTTATTTCTTTCCAGATTCAATAAATTCTTCTTAACACTGTTATTTCATAAAGAATTGAGCAACATAAAACAAACACGTATCAACCATATTTTCCATGTCGTCAACGAGCAAATAACATTAACTTTAAAGAATTTTAAATTTAAATGATTGCGTTGGTTAAGTTCGAATCCTAGACACTGATGAAAAATAAGCGTTAACAACTCTAAAGAATTTATCGACGAATTAAGGGCGAAATATTGACGCCATTTTTTTAAAGTAAAATTTCTCGTATCATATGCACAGGAAATATATTCTACAAATCGCCAATGTGAAAAAAAATACCACCACAAATCCGTGATATTTTCAAAAATATAGAGAGGTCAGCCTCTATAATTAGAAAAAAATCACTAGATATATCGTCAGGATTCCATCTAGTGAGGTTTCTATTTTTTTTTTATGACTAAAATCATATCGTTACCTCTTTTTTTTTTATAAAAAAAATGTCCATTTGTTGCAGGGGGGTATATCGGCCCGGAAACAGATATTGAATGATAGAAGACAAACAACAAATAAAAACGAAGACTTGAATAAAAATATATATTGCCAATTGTATTTTCATGAAATATAAATAGATTGACAAAAATAAGGTTATAGTAATACTAGGCAAAAATAACTCTGTATAACATTAGATTTTATCTACATGATGATTATTTAATCTTAATAATATATTATTATTATTATTATTATTATTATAAATAATAATTCGCTTACATCGCCTTTAAAACTATAAAAAACAGAATAACTTTGACAATTTTATGTTTGTCTATTTTTAGTCTCATTAATCAGTGGAACGGGCATATATGATTGCGTTGGTCAAGTAAAAAAAATACTAGACAAATCCATGAAAAAACCGTTACGTGGCGATCTTTTTTAAAGAAGGCCATCGACGAAGACAGGGCGAAAGGATTGATCCATTTTTTGTAAGTATTTCATCTTCTTTCAAATGGCAGGAAAATACTTAAATAAATCTTTGAAATGTTAAAAAAAAACAAACATAAATACCGGGACAAATAAATGTTAAGTAGAGATTTAGCTGACGATATATCTAAATTTTTGTTATATTTTGAAAATGGAAATAAAACCTGATGTTAGTCTGGTTATTATTGAAAATGTCCATTTGTTGCTGTGATATATCGAAATTTAACAGAAATTGAATGTTAAAAAGAAGTCATAAATAAAACGAAGATTTGAATTAAAAAATATATTTTCCAAATGTATTTTCATGAAAGACTATAGATTTTAATCTCAAAAAAGGTTATAGTGCACTGAGGCAAAAAAGATCAATTAACTTGATAAATTTTATCAGTGATGATTATCCATAATAATAATAATAATAATAATAATAGTGCATTCAAGAAAGGTAGAATTACAAAACACCCTTAATAGATTTAGATTTTGTCACAAAGATTAGGGAACTGGAGCATGATGAAGCTTAAAATTACCTAGGAATTAGCAAAGGAGATGGCATACAACACCCCCCAAATGAAAGAAAAATATGAAAAGATTACTACAGGCGTGTACGTCTGGTACTAAATACTGAGCTAAACTCAAAAAAAAGAATATCAGCCATAAACACATTGGCTGTCCCTGTGTTGCAATACAGCTTTAATGTCCTTAACTGGACCATAGCTGAAATTAAGCGAATGGACGCCAAAACGAAAAGCTTCTCACTTGCTATCGCATGCATCATCCCAAAGCTGATGTTGATCGTCTGTATGTGCCCAGATCCGAAGGAGGCAAAGGATTAGTTCAACTAGAACTGTCCTAAAAATTACAACAATTGGCCTCCAAAGATACTTTGGAAACAACAGAAGACTGGATGATGGTATGCGTCAAAGAACATGAAAGTAGTAAACGTCTTTACTCCGTAATAAAAGAAGCCAACAAATTCAAAATGGAGTTTCAAATGGGCGTAGAGATGCAACTACAGCACAATACACCGGCTGAAACTGCAAAATACCTAAAAAAGACAGCAAAGACGAATGCAACCGACCAGATACAGAAGCGATGGCAAGATAAACCGCTTCATGGCCAATACTCTGCCCGTACCAAAACAAGCTGACGTAGACAAAACCCGTACCCATCAGTGGCTACGTAGTGCAGGGGTTGAAAGCGGAAACTGAAGGTTTTATCCTTGCAGCATAGGACCAATGCTTGAAATTAGGAATTATCAAGCACATATACTAAAATATTGTGTCAGCCCAAAATGCAGATTCTGTGATAAATATCCAGAAACGATTGATCATCTTGTATCAGGTTGCACGATGTTGGCACCCACTGAATATAAAACCCGACATGACAGAGTAACCCAATATCTGCACTGGAAAATCTGCAACTTCTACGGGAAGGAAACTGAAAGAAAAATGGTATGAACACCACCCAGACCCGGTTACGGAGATAGGACCTGTTACAATTCTATGGGACTACACAATACACACTGACAGAACAATCAAAGCCAACCGCCCAGATATTGTTATTAAAGACCACAAACAAAAAATCCATTGCCTTCTTATTGATATGGCAGTCCCTGCTGACTGCAATGTATCTTTGAAGATATTCAAAAGTTGTCAAAATACAAGGATCTTGAAATAGAAAATCAAAAATGTGGCATATGGGAACATCAACAATCCCTGTTGTAGTTGGAGCCCTAGGACTGGTTGGAAAAAGATTGCAGTAGACTAATTGAAGGGATTCCTGGAAGTCCATGCCTCAAGGAGATACAAAAAATTGTTCTGACAAGTACAGCCCACACTTTACGAAGGGCTTTATCTATGTAATTTCTTTTTTTTTTTAAAATGGAAAGTGTCATGATGCCATTTCTATTTCTAACCCAGAGACCCATAAAGAAATGTGTAACGCCAGAAATCAAAGAAAATAAAAAATAATAATAATGTATTATATTTAAGCTTTGACCAATTTTGGCATTGTCCTCAAAATTTATTTATCTATCTATCTATCTATCTATCTATGATCTATCTATCTATCTATCTATCTATGTCTGTCTGTCTGAAACTCTCTCTTAATATATATTTATATATACAATATTTGCATTCATAAATTTTCGTCTAAATCATTGAAAAATAAAAATTCACTGGCATCTAATTTTAAAGATCTATTTATCCTCAATGAAAAAAAAAACCTCTGAAAAATGCTATTTATTCAATAAAATGGACTTTTTTTGAATTATTTGAACTTTTTGGACGGTCTCCTTAAGTTGATGAATGCTTTTTTAATAAAAGAAAAGAGTCTCTTCAGTTATAAGAATTATCCACACAACATTGAATTTTCAAGAATTTTGTTTCTAAAAGAATTTTTCGACCAGATGATTATTGATATGTGCTCTTAGAAATTGTCTGACAGCCCCATTAGTGTTTGTGCGCCTACTTGTATGGCGTTAATAAACGCTACCTTGTATCAATGCACTTGAAAATAGTCCCACGTTGGAGTTTTTATGAAATTCTTAAACTTTTCGGGAGTTCATTTCATCAAAATGGTCAGAATGAGATACCAGAATGCCGTTTTACTTTTGTAATCGCCATTAAAAGAAAATGATTGCTTTCCGAATCCATTGTTGTCCTCAGATTTTTGACCCAAATATTCTGAAATATTCGTATTGGAGCTTCATTTGTTTTGTAAATAACAATTGAATGGCGCGGAAAAAAATCAATCCGTTATTAACGACGACATTTAACTAAAGTGATGCTTATTTAATTGCTATAAATGCATACATCTCATATTTTTATAGGAGACGCCGAGAATTTTAAATTAATATTTTTAATTTTTTTTATTTGATGTTAATCATGGTTAAAATTATTTATTTTCAAGCTTTTTCTAAATGGAAAAAATGAAGGTGTTGTTTTCGCATCTCACTATGTGGTAGATTCGGGTCTAAATAAACAACAGATTATTTATGTGGGCGTTTCGACTGAATATGATCGTTTAATCGGCCCGGATAAAGTTGAAAATATATAGAAAATTTGAAATTTTTTGCGAAAAGGGGAATGGGGAAAAGGACGGTGATCATCGATCTTAATTTAAAACTTAGCTAGCCACAACCACTGACCCAAACACACAAACAATAATCCTAAAAATTTTTAATAACACATTAAATTACTTACCTTTCTTAATACACCCACCAAAAATTCTTTCTTTTTTCTCAATGAAATTCTAAATAGTCCCCATGTGTACAAATCGTCGTCTGTTTTGGAAGGGGAATAAAACAACAAGTTAAAAATAACTCAATGTGTATATACACTGTGAAAATAAACTATTTACAAAAACTCAAGAAAATTATGTTAGTAATGAACCCCCCACAAACATTAAATGTGGCAGAAATTTCAGTTAACTGGACGAAATCGATGTGGAACTATCCATCCTAAGAAAAGTTGTGGACTCCAGAATAAAAGTCCGAAAGAAAACTCGGACGACAAAAATAATTTAGTTTCGTATTTATTAACAAAAAAAGAAACGAATACAAAATGTTGAGACATCCGACTGTCAGCAAAGGACAGTAGTCAAATTATAACGTTATTTATTACTGAACAATAGAGTAAATTTATGTGGCACAAGGCCAAAAAGGGGTGGGGAAAAAGGACGGTCATCATCTGTCTTAATTTATA